TTTAAATCATGAAGCAATGTTGTATTTTATCAAGTGCTTTTTCTGCATCATTGATGTGACCATATGGTTGTTATCTTTCCTTGTGTTGATATATTATACCTATTGTTTTGCGCATGTTGAACCATCCTTGCCTCACTGGGGTAAAGCCTACCTGGTCATGGTATATAACACATGCACATGCACCCAGCATGAGTTACAAACTGCCGAGTGTGGGACTTGAACTGCAGCAGGCCACATGAGAGTCCAACACTTTAACTGCCACATCAGCTGCTGGCCCTGTTAGATCCAATTTGCTACTATTTCGTTGAAGATTTGTGCATCTGTACAAGGATACTGGTCTGTAGTTTTTTGTTTGTTTGTTAGGTACAAGTCTGCTTTTGGTGTCAAGGTGATGAAGGCTTCATAGACTGAGTTTAGAAGGCTTTCCAACATTTGAATCTTTGGAATAGACAGAGGAGGACTGGAGTTAATTATTCTCTAAGTTTGGATAGAATTCAGAAGTGAAGCCATCCAGACCTGGGTATTTTCTTCTTGGGAGACTATTGCTTAACTGTTCCGATCTCACTACTTGTTACTGTGTTCAGGCTTTCTAGTTCTTCCTGACTCAGTCGAGGAATATTGTATATGTCCAGAAATTAGTCCATTTCATCTAAGTTTTCTAGTTTGTTGGCATAAAATTGCACATAATATTCTCTTAGGATCTCTTGTACTTCTGTAGTACTTGTAATACTGCCCATTTTATTACTGATTTTATTTATCTGGTTTCTTTCTCTGTGTTTCTTGGTTAGTCTAGCTAATAGTTTGTACATTGTCTTTATCTTCTCAAAGAACCATATTTTGTTTCATTCATTTTTTTTTTTGTATTTTTGAAATTCTCTATTTCTGCTCTATTTATTTCCAGTTTGGAAGCTACCGAAATGGTCACGTGCTGTTTTAATAGATAAATTGTAGTGCATTTACAAGAAGGTACTGAAATGCAATCGCGATGACCGCACCCACTCATGGCAACATGCCTCACCAGCGTCACGTTGAGCAACAGCAAAAAAGTAAGCACTGCATGTTTATGCTGACATAAAGCTCAAAGCCAGGCAAAACTAACCTGTGCCTTTAGAACTCAGGAGAGTGGTTTTCCTTATAAGGTTTTCACTGGCCGTGGTCTGAGAGAAGCTTCGAGATTGCCTGAATGTGCTGGGTGTTTTGTTCTGGGTGCTGACTACACGGAATTGTTTAATTTGTGAAAAGTCACCGAGCTTAATGATTTGTGCATAAGATGGCACACTTACCATTGACATATAAAATCTCGCTACAAAACTTGATTTTTCTTTTTTAAGTTTATTTTTGATTATATTTGAAGAGGCAAATTTTTACATGATAGCTCCGAACCAACCCTTATACATTAACCAAATTTTACACAAGCCAGTTGAAAAAAGATCTAAAAATGTGCTTAGTTATTGGTATTATATAACACGTATCAAGCACCAAGAGTGTGCTGAGAGCTGTACAGGACGGACATAGAAAAGGCGCAGCCCCTGCCTTCCAGGACACCCTCTGCTGTAGGGTCTCGCCCGCCTAACTTCGCCTTCATTTCACACTCTTTTATTCATAAGGCATAAAAGAAGTTTGTTGCATTTCTCATTGTTACTGAATAAATAAATACTAATACCCATTTCTCTAAAGATACCAACAGTTACCCATAGCTTCGCCCTTAAATACAAATTTCCATAGGACAATATACAGAATATATTGATTTGGTATTCACACGATTGACCACAATATTCTTGCAGGTTGGCTATAATATGAAGCATGTTGAATTTCAACATTCACAAAGGTTTATACCACTGAAAAGAATCTCTTACTGTTGGCAGCACTTTTTGTTTAAAAAAAAAGGGGGGGGGTGCTACTGCCCTTATCTTTGATAAACTGTAAACAAAAACACTGCCTTCCAGTGAGGGCATCAGAGCCATGGTATAGCTACCAGAAGGGAGGTTTGCAGCACAGCTATTAAACTAGCCTTGCAGCTCTCAACCACAGAGATGCGTGCCCTAAACTACCCACGACCGTTTATGATCAGCCAGTAATGGATGATGGGAGTCTGATCTGCTTTACTGTATTTTCTGTTAAAAGGAAGAGGAACGGGAATAAATAAACTGTCCGAAAACTGTAGGCCCAGAATTTTTGCTTTTCTGTACGGCTGGATTCAAAGCAAATTCCAATTGGACAAGAGGATGAGTGCTTCTGAATTTAATCATTGGTTAAAGACATTCAATTTCAAAATAATTCCTTAAATAACATCTGATTTTTAAAAAAAATTTTCTATAGGGCACATGTGCTTGCTAGAGAGAAAGAAGTGAGAAAGCATCTCCCCAACACACACACACACACACACACACACACACACACGGGGGATGGCCATGCCAAAATCCATTTTCCTGCTGGGATTTTGGGCATGTTTTTCAAGCTACTGGGTCCAGGACTTGAACCATGCAGTCAGCCATGTGGGATCCAGCCGTCTTAACTACCCCATCATCGGCTGGCCCTGATTGTGTATTTGTAAAATACAAGAAGAAAGTTAATTTTGATAATGATTTTGGACTCAGGCAAAGGAAATTATACTTGATATAAAAATGTCACAGAGCATGGTAGGAGACAGAAGTGAGTACAGGACAGAGACTACTCCACGTGTTACCTGTAGGAAGCTCACTGTGACAGGAGAAGAGGGCCAGGCTTCAGAAGGATGCATAGGTGTTTCTGTCCCAGTCAGACTCTGTCTTGCTCTATTCTGCAAATGAGGGATCGGAGGGGCTAAAGTGAGTCTAGCATTCAGGGGAAGAAGGCTGGAGTGAGCTGGAAGTTCATAGCTAAAAAGGGTCAGCTGTGAACTTCACCTTCTACAAGCCCTAAGACCCCACAGATCCATTAGCTCCAGGTCATGGCAAAGATCCATAATGCCAACATCAGACTTGGTCCCACTAGGCTGAGGATGGCCACTTTCTAGAAAACACCTTCATTGTCCAATTTCCTGGGGTAAAACCAGGTCTGGATGTTTCCATTACATGACAACCATGGTGAGTTGACTATCAAAGCTACACTGAGCTAAGAGCAGAAATGAGCTTCTCTAACTACCTTTCTACGTAGGGCAAGAATGGCAGGATATTCTGTAGAAGCCATTCCTTCCTGAGCTTGAAATGGGCTTACAGTCAAGCCCGCCCTCGGTAACCAGGTGCATGACCCAAACATGGCCCATGAGGAGCAGGTCCCCCAAGGGCAGCAGAAGTGGTTTGGTGCAGCCTCCACAATCCCACCACTCGAGTGGGCTGAGATCTGACCAGGTTTTTCTGATCCCGGGTAAATACATCCACTCAAGAAGGTGGGAACCACTTATCTGGGAGGCCCTCACAGCTTCATCTATGATCAGAGGGAGAATGGGGTGGAATGTAGTTATGGTCTTACTGGGTGAGTGCAGAGAGATGGGATGGCAACTCCCAAGGGTGGTAATCTAGTATCCTCTTTGGGTGAAACAACCCAACTCAAAACAGAGCACCAAAAGACTAAAATTCTGACTAGAGACAGTAATTTATATATATAATTTTTCTTCTCAATTATAAACCCCCAGGTTTCCATACTAAGGCTTAAGTTTCAGTCGTCTAATTGAAACGCTATACATAGACATATCAGGTCATCAGGAAAGTCATGACGTATTTTCCTATACAAAAATGTGTCATGGCCCCTGACAACACAATGACAGAAACAGATGGCATGAAGACCTCTAAAACTAAAGGCTCCCACAGAGTAGAGCAGCCATCCCGCGTCTGTGAACATCATAAAACTGATGGAGAACAACAGAGTCAGACACAGAAAGCTTAGCGTTATTTGGAACTTTCTAGAATAGATGCTGGATTCCTATTGCTTTGAAAAATTGAGATGCTCCCTAACCCTCTCTTGCAGGAATTTCTTATGTCATCCATAGTGATTACTCTTACTACTAAAATTTATTTCTACTCCACTTCGCTATCAAAAGAACTTAAGGTGACTAGCTTCTGTGGATAATAGTTTCCCTTTACCCAGTAGTAAGACACTAGAATCAGATGCTGCCAAAGACTCTTTCTGTCCAGTTACTATTCAAGCACCATTCAGCAGGTGGAGACAGATCAGTTCTGATGAAAGTACAATAGCTTCTGGTATGCTGGAGGAACCTTGCTCTTGAGTTAACAGGAAAAAAAAAAGTAGGCGTTTAGATACACATACAGATAGATAGATGGTTAAATAGTTCATATTTTTTGCACTGCTGACAAGTATTCAAAACTCTGGAGTAAGTATAGGGGTAGTCGAGAAGACCTTGGTGCCTTTATCATATTATTGAACAAGCCTTCAAAATCTGTTTAAAGCCATTAAAAAATGACTGTTATTAATGGTGCACGGGACCTATGGGTTAGAGTTAGAATGTGAAAGTTTAGCCATTGTCTCTACTCTTCAAGGCACAAGGACAAGGTCCGCACTCTCTAACTCACGTGTGAGCAGCAGGGCTGTGGTGCCACCAGATGACAGAAAACCAAGGCAGAGCGCCACACACCTGGTAAACCCCAGTGCTCCTTCGGAGCGGCCATGACTCCTGACCACTGACCTCATGGCATGGCAAGCAGCTCCCCACAGCTTGGGTTGGGGGCGGGAAGGTCTCTGGACCTGCATGCCCTGGCCCACGACAGAGCATACTCTGTGCTGTGCCTTCCTACCCGGGGCACAGGACGCAGGTCCAGAGTGTTCCCACGAAGATCTGCAGCGATGCAGATGTCCTGTCCTGATGATGACAGAAGGGCAAGAGAAGAGTCAGTAGCCCTTGGAAAAAGTCATCAGAGCAGTAACGACCTTGACGGACACTCCCTCTGACTGCCCAGCCATCATCGAGAACGTGAAGGAAGAAAGAACCCCTCTTCTTTGCTTCTCATCTTGCTAGGTCTCTTAGCTTCCCCAGAAGAGGCAACGTATTAAATATCTTCTATACAACTTATTCCCTCCCATGAAACTTCATCAAAATGGAAAGAAACCAATTAATCTTTTTTTTTTCTTTTTTTGCTTGGAATATTCCATTTGCATTTACTGGCAGTCCGTTACATTCTTTTGGTAGGAAAAGATATTGCACTTCTAAAAATGCATCAGAGTGTAAATAAGTCAAAGCTAATAGGTAGGTAGATTTCTCCCCAGAATGTCTAGTTCCTGAAGACCACCATCAGCATTGGCCAAAAAGGCCTCCGTGATTTCAATAAACTTAGTCGATAAACTGTTGCCACACTGATGCAAGGTTTTAAATACCGAGGAAGACGTCGGTAGTCACAAACTGTACATACGGAGTCCCTAAGCTCACGATTTCATTGTGCAGATGGGCACCACGATGACAAGGATGACAGTGCATGCGGCAGCGGCAATCAGAGCAGCTATCTTGCAGACCTTGGCCCGTCTGAATTCAGCTTCTTTACGTTTCAGCAAGGAGTCATAGCCTGGCGTGTAAATATCTTCCATCCAGTACTCTAAGTTGTTTGGGTTTAAAGATTCTTGCGTCTAAAAGTGAAGAGAAGATACGAGGAATACCGTGAGTAGCTGGAACCAGGTCAAAGATGTCCTGACAACTGTCACTCCTGCAGCATTTACGAGTTGGCTACCGCTAGAGTTAGAGAGGCCTGTACTGGGAGACACTGGGCCCCAGCCCCGTAACTGCCAGGGGCTACCAGCGACTCGCCCACACATCCCGGACTGCCTTGGCCCCTGCTCACTAAAAACAGCAAGGTGATTTTGACACAGAGTATCATAAGGGCCTTTTATTCATAGCAAGCACAAGAGGCCACGACAGACGAGACTCTCAACTTCTAGGGCGTACAGCCAAGAAAGGGCTGGCCCCACTGCACGGGAAGTGGGGGAAGTCACTGAAAGATATTCTCTACCAACACACTCCAAGACGGATCTGCTGGAAACGAGCATTGCATCACTCGGAGCCTGCTTCCGTTTCTCAGAAAATCAAAGGCACCTCCCAAGGTAAGAGGCTTGAACAAAACATAAGCTATTCCAGTTCCAAACACTTGCCTGAGCAGGTCAGACCACTGCTCAAAGTCAAATGTGCATTCCCAGGGCAGTCTATCCTTGCCCCAGCTCCATCTGCAGCGGCTCAGGACTTAGTGA